GACTTCCCGAAAACTCGGAGGAGCGGCGGCGGTTGCGGCGATCTTAGGCCAACTCCAAACGCACCCCCAAACAACGTCCGTTTATCCGATCTGCTCGGATTTCCTTTTAACATACGAGTACAGACACAAACGTGTATATAAACCTGCATACACTCACCCTATATTGACATGCATGCATACCCCTACTCTTATAAGCACCTTCAAAAGACTGAGTGGGCATGTCATCTTAATATTTTTACAAAGTCACTGCGAGCACCAAGATTTGAATCCTGATGGGCTGAATACCACGGTCCTCCTAACCATCCAACTACAGGTTAGTTCGCGTATCTATTCCGATTTGTGGATGCGCCGGTCTTGTGCTCAACACGCGGCCGCATCTTTGGCCGCATCTCGTCTGTTGTGCATGCAAATATGAAAAGAACAAAGGATGTTCACGCCAGTTCATGCCGCCGGCAACAAAGCTAGCGGCCTACAGAATGGCCACCCAAATTTCATGTCGGCAACAAAGCCATGGGTCGGCAAACTGGTCAGCCTTCAAAATGGACAAGTTTTTGTGGCCGGCAACAAAGCCAGCGTCTGACACACGAGCCAGCCTTCAAAATGGACAAGTTTTGGACGTCGGAAACAAAGCCAGCAATCGGCACACCAGCCAACATTTAAAATGGACGGCCATCGCGGTTCAGGTTGTCGCGAGCGAACATCTACTTCTGCCGGTTCGTGAACCAAGCCTTTCTCCGGTGACATGTTGTTCTTGTCGACGCTCATGAACGCGAGTGCCACCTCTTTTGCTTTGGTCTCGGCATTGGTGGCCTTGAGCTCAAGCTTCTTGAGTTGAGCGGCCTCCTCGATGTCAAGTTTCCTTCTTTTCACGGCCTTCTTCATGTCAAGCTTCTTCTTTTGGAGATCTAGGCATATCTTCATTTGTTCCTTCTTCCCTTTGCTCCTCCTCTCCTCCCTCCCTTCCTTTTGGCTCATCATGTTCTTCAAAGTTCCTTGCAAGGCCATGGACGACGCATCACGCTTCTCATCGGCCTTTGAGCTTGTCTTGCCACTCGGCCTCTTGAGCAAGTCTCCCTCATCAGCCACGTTCGCTTTCTCTCCTTTCTTCTTACGAGCGGCATATTGGTCTTTGAACTTGGGGTGATCTTTGATGAGCGACCAACAATGCGTGAGAGTAAACTGTTTGTTCTTATGTCGGGCCTTGAAGGATTCCAAAGATTGGAATGCCTACACAATCAAAT